GGGGTGTTGTTTTCCTTTCTTTCTTTTTTACTTCGGAAGGGTTTTTTAAAACTCGCCCCAGCATTAAAGTGGAAGAAACAACCAGAAAAGGACAATTTTGCCCCTGAAAAGGACCTATTGTTTGCCCCATACCTAGAAATTAAGAAGATGGCTGAACAAACAAAGGCAGGTGTGAATTGATACCAATTTCTGACCGTTTATGTCAGAAAAAAAGGATAGTGAAAGGCAATATGTTGTGTTAATTGGCTTAACTTTGACTCAGTATTGGACTTTATTTGGGGTAGTTTCACATGGTTCTCTTCCAGCTCTACAGTTTTGGGGTTCTGTGAATATGTTATTTGATTATATTCATATCCATAGAAGATAAGCTGAGTTCATGGTAGCTGCAAGCTATTATCTAAACCCACAACAGTTTATGTGTGTTCAGCTGTTCAAATCTTAAAATGTGTGTATGCCATCAAGTCATCTTATGGGGACTCCATGAATTTCCTAAGTTTTGTCATTTAATTTTAACTTATGAATTTTAACTTATATGTGTTTAATCTAATGTCCATGTCTTCTAATATCTGTGTTTTAATGGTCTCATGTCTTACGTATAAATTTTAAAGGTGTTGTACCCTGCCTCACTCCAGCAAAGGATCACCGCCTTGTCGGGGCGCTGGAGCTTGAGCACCTCAATGATGTCATGAGCGAAACCGTGAAGGGACACCCAAGACGGGACGGTTGTGGCAGAGAGGTCAGACCAAGCGTGATCCCTGGGGAAGGCAATGGCAAACCACTCCAGTATCCTTGCCAAGAAAACTAAATGGACCAGTACAACCAGAGATATGTCGGTATGCCATTGGAAGATGGGACTCCCAGGTCGGAAGATGGCCAAAATGCTACTGGGGAGGAGCAGAGGATAAGTTCAACTAGCCCCAGATGTGATGACGCAGCTAGCTCAAAGCCGAAAGGAAGGCTAGCGGCCGACGGTACTGGAGGCGAACGACGAATCCGATGCTCTAAAGATCAACACACCATAGGAACCTGGAATGTAAGATCTATGAGCCAGGGCAAATTGGATGTTGTTATTGGCGAGATGTCAAGACTAAAGATAGACATTCTGGGGGTCAGCGAACTGAAATGGACTGGAATGGGCCACTTCACATCAGATGGCCACCAGATCTACTACTGCGGACAAGAGGAACATCGAAGAAATGGAGTAGCCTTCATAATTAATAAGAAATTCGCTAAAGCGGTGCTTGGATACAACCCAAAAAATGACAGAATGATCTCAATTCGAGTGCAAGGAAAGCCTTTCAACATTACAGTGATTCAAATATATGCCCCAACCACAGCTGCTGAAGAAGTAGAAGTAGATCAGTTCTATGAGGATCTGCAGGACCTACTGGATAATACACCAAAAAGAGACATTATTTTCATTACAGGAGACTGGAATGCCAAGGTGGGAAGTCAAATGACAACAGGGATCACAGGCAAGCATGGTCTGGGAGAACAAAATGAAGCGGGACGCAGGCTGATAGAATTTTGCCAGGAAAACTCGCTGTGTATAACGAATACTCTCTTCCAACAACCTAAAAGACGGCTTTACACATGGACCTCACCTAGACGGTCAACACCGAAATCAGATTGACTACATCCTTTGCAGCCAAAGGTGGCGGACATCCATCCAGTCGGTGAAAACAAGACCTGGGGCTGACTGTAGCTCAGATCACGAACTTCTGATTGCCCAATTTAGAATAAAACTAAAGAGATCAGGGAAAATACACAGACCAGTTAGATATAATCTCACTAACATTCCTAGCGAATATACAGTGGAAGTGAAGAACAGATTTGAAGGACTAGATTTAGTAAACAGAGTCCCAGAAGAACTATGGACAGAAGTCCGAGACATTGTTCAGGAGGCGGCAACAAAGTACGTCCCAAAGAAAAAGAAAACCAAGAAGGCAAAATGGTTGTCTGCTGAGACACTGGAAGTAGCCCAAGAAAGGAGGAAAGCAAAAGGAAACAGGGATAAGGGGAGATATGCCCAGTTAAATGCGCAATTCCAGAGGTTAGCCAGAAGAGATAAGGAACTAGTTTTTAAATAAGCAATGCATGGAAGTTGAAGAAGACAACAGAATAGGAAGGACAAGAGACCTCTTCCAGAAAATTAGAAACATTGGAGGTAAATTTCAGGCAAAAATTGGTATGATAAGAAACAAAGATGGCAGGGACCTAACAGAAGCTGAAGAGATCAAGAGAAGGTGGCGAGACTATACAGAAGATCTGTATAGGAAGGATAATAATATTGAGGATAGTTTTGACGGTGTGGTGAATGAATTAGAACCAGACATCCTGAGGAGTGCGGTTGAATGGGCCTTAAGAAGCATTGCTAACAACAAGGCAGCAGGAGATGACGGGATCCCAGCTGAACTGTTTAAAATCTTAAAAGATGATGCTGTCAAGGTGATGCATGCCATTTGCCAGCAAATATGGAAAACACAAGAATGGCCATCAGACTGGAAAAAATCAACTTATATCCCCATACCAAAAAAGGGAAATGCGAAAGACTGCTCAAACTTCCGTACAGTGGCCCTTATTTCTCATGCCAGTAAGGTAATGCGCAAGATCCTGCAAGGAAGACTCCAGCAATACATGGAGCGAGAGTTGCCAGATGTTCAAGCTGGGTTTAGAAAAGGCAGAGGAACGAGAGACCAGATTGCCAATATCCGCTGGATAATGGAGAAAGGCAGGGAGTTTCAGAAAAACATCTACTTCTGCTTCATTGACTATTCTAAAGCCTTTGACTGTGTGGATCATAATAAATTGTGGCAAGTTCTTAGTGGGATGGGCATCCCAAGCCACCTTGTCTCTCTCCTGAGGAATCTGTACAAGGACCAAGTAGCAACAGTCACTACTGACCACGGAACAACAGACTGGTTCAAGATTGGGAAAGGCGTACGGCAAGGCTGCATCCTCTCACCCAACCTTTTTAACTTGTATGCAGAACACATCATGCGATGTGCGGGGCTGAGGAATGCAAAGCGGGGGTGAAAATTGTTGGAAGAAACATTAACAACCTCAGATATGCAGATGACACCACTCTGATGGCCGAAAGCGAGGAGGATCTGAGGAGCCTTCTAATCAAGGTGAAAGAAGAAAGCGCAAAAGCCGGGTTGCAGCTAAACGTCAAAAAAACCAAGATTATGGCAACAAGAATGATTGACAACTGGAAAAGAGAAGGAGAAACCGTGGAGGCCGTGACAGACTTTGTATTTCTAGGTGCAAAGATTACTGCAGATGCAGACTGTAGCCAGGAAATCAGAAGACGCTTACTTCTTGGGAGGAGAGCAATGTCCAGTCTCGATAAAATAGTAAAGAGTAGAGACATCAGACTGGCAACAAATATCCGCCTAGTCAAAGCCATGGTATTCCCTGTAGTAACCTACGGATGTGAGAGCTGGACCTTAGGGAAGGCTGAGCGAAGGAAGATCGATGCTTTTGAGCTGTGGTGTTGGAGGAAAGTGCTGAGAGTGCCTTGGACTGCGAGAAGATCCAACCAGTCCATCCTCCAGGAAATAAAGCCCGACTGCTCACTGGAGGGAAGATACTAGAGACAAAGTTGAAGTACTTTGGTCACATCATGAGGTAGACAGGAAAGCCTAGAGAAGACAATTATGCTGGGGAAAGTGGAAGGCAAAAGGAAGAGGGGCCGACCAAGGGCAAGATGGATGGATGGCATCCTTGAAGTGACTGGACTGACCTTGAAGGAGCTGGGGGTGGTAACGGCCGACAGGGAGCTCTGGCGTGGGCTGGTCCATGAGGTCACGAAGAGTCGGAGACGACTGAACGAATGAACAACAACAACCCTGCCTCAAGCCTTGAGGAGAGGTGGATAACAAATACAATAATTTATTCCTCCCACCCCCTCCAAAATATGACCCAGCATCACCTGGTATTCACTGATGGTCCCTCATCCAAGTACTAACTAGGTCTCTCATGACCGTTGTTTTCCTTCTGTAACCAAGTTAAACTATTTTGATGCCATCATACTTTTAGAAACTGACTTAGGTGGGCTTTTTAAGGTACTGCTCTTCTAAAGATTTGTATATATGGTAATCTTTTAAGTAATGTTAATATTGTTTAGATAGCTTCTATATTTACTGTACATGCTCAGGCATAACTCGAGGGCAGGTTTGAGGTTCAAAAGTATGGATTCAAAAATGCCAGAGTGGTGATATGGTAGAGAGAACAGAGGGGCCTAGTTTGTTTTTGTTTTTGTTTTTTCAGCTTCTCCTTGACCAAACCAAGCTCTTGCCTTCTAATACTGTACTCAGAAAAGGGGTCAGTTCCTCTTTTGATAAGAATTAAGATGCAGTACTCAAAATGACCTGTGGATAAGTCAACTCAGATTTTTGGGACTGATTGTGTAAGGAAAAATTATAGACTTATAAATGGGTATGTGAAGTTTGCATAGTTTACATAGTTTACCGTATTTCACTGCATAATAGTCACACTTTTTATCCTTTGTTGTTGGAAAAAAATGGGTGCAACTATTATGAGATGAAGTAAAATTGTGCCTTGTTTTGGTTTTTTTAACTGTCTTTTCTCCAAGATGAGGAAGAGGAAATAGGGAGAGCTCTGTGTTTGTTTAAACTATTTTAATAATAACGACAACAAGACGATGAGGAAGAAGAGGACTTTATTTATATTGGACTCAAGGTGGATTTTTGAGGAGAACTCTGTTTTGTTTTTGTTTTTTTTAAAACCACATGCAACGATTACTCAAATAAAGGAAAATTATTCAGTGCCAACCATTACACTGTGAAATACGTTGTTTTGAATATCCTGTTGGCTGATTTGAATCTGGTGATCAAGAGAAAGGTGGATATAAATAAAAAAAATAACAGTAGCAACACATTCAGAAGATGATCACCTTTGGTTTAGCCTTAGGAGTCTGCAATGACTATATGTGTAAAACTGTCCATGTTACTAACCCTGGGCTTTATGATTTCCAGATCTCCAGATGTGGGGGCCAGCCCACTGACCCGACCTGGGCAGCCCACTCTCACTCGGGTGCCCCCTCCGATTGTGCCAAGGCCCACCCAGCAGACTGGGAGCACTGCCCTGAATACCTTCCGGCCCACCTATGGCAGCTCTTTCTCTTCGGGCTATGGCACATACGGGAGCAGCATGTATGGCAATTCCTTTTATGGAAGCTACAGCCCTTACAGTTATGGGTACGGGGGCTTGGGTTACAACCGCTTTCGGATGGACGATATCCCCCCCAGTCGGTTCGTTCAGCAGGCGGAGGAAAGCAGCCGAGGCGCCTTTCAGTCCATCGAAAGCATCGTGCACGCCTTTGCCTCCGTCAGCATGATGATGGATGCTACCTTCTCAGCTGTCTACAACAGTTTCCGGGCAGTTCTGGATGTGGCCAATCACTTCTCTCGCCTCAAAATACACTTCACCAAGGTGTTTTCCGCTTTTGCCTTGGTCAGAACTATAAGGTACCTCTACAGGCGACTGCAGAGGTTGATGGGTCTGAGAAAAAGCTCTGAGAATGACGATTTATGGGCGGAAAGCGAAGGGACGGTGGCCTGTGTTGGTCCTGAGGAAAGAGCAGCCCACTCTGCAAAATCATGGCCCATTTTTCTATTCTTTGCTGTCGTTCTTGGGGGGCCCTACCTCATATGGAAGCTGCTGTCCAGCTACAGTGATGATGAAACAGGTAAGTGTGGTTTCTGTGTAGGAATGTAGGCAATCTGTGTGATAAATGACCCAAGTGGTAACTAAAAATCAGGACTTCGTTATAAATGGCGTTCAGGTACTTCCTCCTTCCTGATACTGACCTCCTTGCATGAATTTTTCTCTCTTTTACACTTTTAGCCTTATCTATCCTACCAGTTTCTGTAATATTGCTTTAAGTGCTCTTTAAAATGGGAAATGCTGGTATGAGTATGCAGGCAGTGTTAGAGCACACCACTATTTTTCTGAATTTATGCATGTGACGATGTGTAAATTTTATTCCTTTGGTTATGTGTAGTTTGGACAGTAGTTTAGGGATGGTAAGTATGGGAGATTATGTTTTGTGGGAGATGGTGGCTTGGCGTTAGCTGAGTTGTCATAGCAACAGGGACGGAGCCAACTGCCTCTTCAGGAGGCAGCTGTTTTAAAAAGTCAGTCAGTAGGCCGGAGAGCTACTGAGAGGACTGAGTCTCTGGGTGGAGATTCAGGGAATGTGTCTGTAGCCGGTGTGCTATAGGAAAGACTGAATCTCAGGGTGGGGATTCAGGGAATCAATTGGTGACCAAAGTGGTTGCAGAGAAGGACCTGGTAGTGAGAGAGCTACAGGGGGTTGTTGATTCTGAATTAAGAATCAAGGTTTGGCTGGGTTTAAGCCTGCTGTGCCTGCTGTGAAACGTTTTGAAGTCTGTGCCTGAGATTACTCATGAAACCTTTCCAATGTAACCATCAAGATTTGTGCCTCTTGAGAAGAAACAGTTAAACATGTTATACTCCTGTTAAAATAAACTTGTTACTGTTTTCCTCAAGCCTTGCCTGATACAGTTTCTCCTAAGTTGAACAGCCTGCAATAGTAAAGTCAGCCAGAAACAGTAAACGCTACGCTATCAAATGAACAAAGCCTTCTGTAATTCACAGTCCCTTTATAAAATAGCTCCTAGGTTGATATTAATCGTTGCCCGGCTTCCCTCATAGATTAGGTGGCAGTGGGTGTTTTACCACGCGCACCTTCACAATTGGTGGCATTCGGTGGCATTAAAACGGTCTTCTTCACAATTGGTGGCAGCAGTTTAACAACTTCTTCACAATGCATATCTGTGAGAAGCAGTGCATGAAGGACAATAGTTTATAGGGAGAAAATGGCATCAAGAACAATGCTGGCCTGATTGTAATTTCTGGTAGAATGGAGGAAATTGTTGGAGGAAGGTTGCAAAAATAACCATGAGCTGATGGTCCTGAAGGAATCTATGAGTCATGTTTCTCTGGATCTTTGTGCAACTTCAGATAATGGTTAGCGAAGAAACATGAGCACTTTCAGGATATGGGAATTGGATTTCTTGTCCTAAACCAAAGGTTAAGCTTTAAGCTTGCCTTGAATCTGTAGCTTTCCCCATCACCCTCCAAGAAGCCCAATTTCTTTGTCTGGAGATCAATGCAGTTAAACATCACTGCCTTCTCTGTGCATATATATGACCACCACAAATGGGAATTATTTCAGTGTATTTCCTCGCTAACTCAGTCCTAACACCAAACCTCTTTCTAATGGGGTGATAACAAAGAACAGCCTTCACTGCTTCAGAAGCAAACAATTACACTAAATCAGCCTGTGTGACATACGCCTAACAATGAAAGCACAAAGTGAATAAAATACAAGCCTAAAGACTGTTGTTGTTTTTTTTTAAAAGTTATTCATTGATGGTAGACAAAAAAATTCAAAATATGCACATGCTTTTTAAAGCCTTGATGTAAATCAGAGATAGCCAATTTCTATGAGTTCAAGGAGCTAATTTTATAGCCTGTAGTCTCCCCTCTGCCATAATCAATATATCTTTGACTGTTGGCCTCATCTAAAGCAGTCTTTCTCAATCTTCCTAATGCAGCGACCCCTTTATACAGTTCCTCATGTTGTGGTGACCCCCAACCATAACATCATTTTTGTTGCTCCTTCATAGCAGTCATTTTGCGACTGTTAGGAATCGTAATGTAAATACCTGATATGCAGGATGTATTTTCATTCACTGGACCAAATTGGTCACAAATACCCAATACAACCACATTTGAACACTGGAAGGGTCTGATGGAAATTGATCTTGAATTTGTAGTTGCTGGGATGTATAGTTCACCTACAATCAAAGAGCATTCTGAACTCCACCAATGATGGAATTGAACCAAACTTGGCACACAGGACTCCCATGACCAACAAGGTTTGGTGGGCATTGACCTTGAGTTAGGAGTTGTAGTTCACCTACATCCAGAGAGCATGGTGGACTCAAACAATGATAGATCTGGACCAAACTTGGCACGCATACTCAATATGCCCAAATGTGAACACTGGTGGAGTTTAGGGAAAATAGACGTTGACATTTGGGAGTTGTAGTCGCTGGGATTTATAGTTCACCTCCAATTAAAAAGCATTCTGAACTCCACCCATGATTTGGCCAAACTTCCCACACAGAACCCATGACCAACAGAAAATACTGTGTTTTCTGATGGCCTTTGGTGACCCCTCTGACATCCCCTCGCGACCCCCCTAGGGGTCCCGACCCCCAGGTTGAGAAACACTGATCTAAAGAATGCCTCAAGTTTGCTGCCCAATTTTAGCAACAAACCAAGACATTTAAAGCAATTAAATGACTCTCATTAAATATATTGAGGTGTGTTGTCGAAGGCTTTTGTAGCCAGAATCACTAGGTTGCTGTGCGTTTTCTCGGCTGTATGGCCATGTTCCAGAAGCATTCTCTCCTGATGTTTCACCCACATCAATGGCAGGCATCCTTAGAGGTTGTGAGGTCTGCTGGAAACTAGGCAAGTGGGGTTTATATATCTGTGGAATGTCCAGGGTTGGGGAAAGAACCCTTGTTTTCCTGAGGGAAGTGTGAATGTTGCCAATTGCCACCATGATTAGCATTTAATGGCCTTGCAGCTTCAAAGACTGGCTGATACTTGCCTGGGGGAATCCTTTGTTGAGAGGTGTTATTATAAACTTCACTTGTCTAATTTCCAACAGACCTCACAACCTCTGAGGATGCCTACCATAGATGTGGGCAAAACATCGAGAGAGAATGCTTCTGGAACATGGCCATACAGCCTGGAAAACTTACAGAAACCCTATATGAGATGGCTTGCTTCTGAAATTGTATACATTTTCTTAAGGAAGAAATATTCAGATATGGTTTTGACAGTTGCTTTTTTTCCACTTGAGATTGGTTGGTGGCCTCCCAATAAAAGTAATAATAATGATAATTTTATTTCTATATGTTGCAACTGGGCTAGTAGAACATTTTTGGCTACTAATGCTTTTGGATTCATTTGCAAGACTGGAGTGTTTCATTCTCACAGCCAGAAAGTGAAACAATTTGTTCAAGCTGAGAACTGATAACTTGTACCAGCAGACATTTGATCCGGGCCACCTCACCCAATTCTTAAGCCTGTTCCCCTTGTATTATACTTCATTTTACTTATTACTTTCTGATCATAAAAGAGATAGAACTGACCCAACCGAGTCTTGCTGACACATTTCACCCCTTTTCTGTGGCACAGTGTCCAGTCACTGGGCAAGTGGAGAGGCTGACCATGTTGTGGGGAGAGCAGAATATGACTTCAATACTGTTTCAGAAGAAGAAATTTCTTTCCGTGCCGGTGAAATGCTAATATTAGCTCCTAAAGGTAAGACCATTTTGATTTATTGTGAATCCTTCCCCACTGGTCCTCTCATCCCTTTCTGGGAGGGAAGTATGTGGAGACTAACTCCTCTGCCCCAATCTTGGTGGTCTAGTTATGTTGTTAGGCCAGTATTAAAACATGTTAACAACAGAGGCCCACAGGCAAACATATGGCTGTTTTGGGTTTTTTCCCCCATAAATCAGTATGTAGATTCATTGTCTTTTTCTTATCTTCCTCCTATCTAGTTTCATCTGCTAGCATATTTCTTCTCTTCCCCAGGACTCTTGCTCTATTCTTTCTCAGGGGCTTCACCTTCTCACTCTTAATTGCTCAGTTCTATCCCATCTAATCCATCCCAAGATCTGAGCAGATTTGAGCAGGTCTGTACAAAAGAGAGCCAGCCTGGAGTAGTGTTTTCAGTGTTAAGACTACAACTCTGGAGACCAGGGAGCGGCATACTCCCGCAGTCAGTGGGGTTTATCTTTGATTATGGTTGAGCTATATATCCAGTTTTTCTGCCAACCTAGCAGTTCGAAAGCATGCAAATGGAAGTAGATCAATAGGTACCGCTTCTGCGGGAAGGTAACGGTGCTCCATACAGGCATGCTGACTCTTTGGCTTAGAAATTGAGATGAGCACACACACTCCTGGAGTTGGACATGAATAGACTTAATGTCAAGTCCACCCAAACATGAGGAAGAACTTCCTGACTGTAAGAGCTGTTCAGCAGTGGAACTCTCTGCCCCAGAGTGTGGTAGTGGCTCCTTTGGAGGTTTTTAAACAGAGGCTGGATGGCCATCTGTCGGATGTGCTTTGAATGTGATTTTCCTGCTTCTTTGCGGGGGGTTGGACTGGATGGCCCACAAGGTCTCTTCCACCTCTATGATTCTAAATATTCTTTAGTTTGGTTCCCACCCAACTTAGTTCTTCATAAACTCTGATAGCTCTTTGTAAAATGCGTGAGCACTTTTCCCTCTTAACTTCAGGGGTTTTTTTTTCTTTTCCCGTCAGAACAACAGCCCAAAATTCGTGGATGGCTTCTCGCCAGCCGTGGTGGGCAGACGACAGGACTTGTACCAGCAAATTACATCCGAATACTTGGTAAAAGGAAAGGGAAGAAGACCACAGAGCTGGAAAAGATCACAGAGCACCAGCCTGCAGTTCACAATGCACCTCTGGTTCCAGGAGGTACAGCTGCTGACACGTTGGAGGAGCAAGAAGCTGCCTTTGAGTCTGTCTTTGTGGAAAATAATAAAGATCCCATTACACCTGGCTCTGCCATGCTAAGTGGAGATAAACAGGACCTTTGACAGGTGTGGAGGTTTATGGACCTGGTCAGCACATGCTCGTCAGTAATGCTGTAGGGTAACCATTCAGTAGTGATGTAGCAGAACACCGTTGTTGACTGTGTCTGCCTGGTGAAATCATAGAGAGGGACATTAAAGGCCCTAGTCCTGGGCTTGATTCAGTTAATGTTGGATGGCTGGATTAAGCGTACCAGGCAGGAGCCAGTCGTTCTGTGCCAGGCACGGGTGAGTTATCAGTCAAGAAGGTATAGTATCTAATCCCATTTGGTTGTTGGAGCCGTTCTTAAAGCTACCAGAGATAGCTCTCTGTTTGGAAATTTTATTTAGGGCTGATTTATCTTCTCATTACGTTATAGACACTGTGATAAAGTATGTTTCAGAGTCTTTCATCATATGGTGAGATTCCATTTTCTTCTTAAAGTGGTATTGTGTGGTAGAAGGGGAATCTCAGTCATGGATTTGTTGGACTGTCCTCCAAAAAAACCTCCAGTCTCACTGTTCCGACATTGAACAATTCTCTGTGAAAGATGTTCTAGAGCTGGTAGCAGTTCCATTTTATCCTAGTTCCATGATACGTGAGCCCAGCTTATGTGGGTGTCTTTTCATAAACAAGCTAGCTCCTTATAACATGATTCTCCTTTGTGTTGGCACCTGTCTCTGCATTTGAAGACTTAGGCAATCCCCTGCCTGGGTCGGTAGTTAATTGGTCTTAAACTACAACATCTACATCAGTGGTTCTCAACCTGGGGTCCCCAGATGTTTTTGGCCTTCAACTCCCAGAAATCCTAAAAGCTGGTAAACTGGCTAGGATTTCTGGGAGTTGTAGGCCAAAAACATCTGGGGATCCCAGGTTGAGAACCACTGATCTACATCAATCTGCCCTTCCAGGTCAAGGATACTGCACCTTTTTCCATACCTGTCATTTAAGAGGTAGGAAAGGTTACATTTTGGATGGCAACTCCCCACATTTCTCAGCCAGAATGACCACTAACAAATATGGACTAGGATGTTCTGAGAACAGAAATCCCAAATCAAGGTTCTCCCAAGTTCTGCTTCAGTTAGATCTGTCAAGTTAGATCACACTAAGGATCAAACTTGCATGCTAGATCTACACTTTAAACCTGTTTCTACTCCATGACTTGTTGTGTCAACCTGAATGATAGGTAAAGATGAGACGGATTTCTATTTCTTTAGCTAGTCTCATCAGATGTTCTTAACTGTAAGTCTATAAATATACTGCTTAGTCAAGCTGAATATGTGCTAAGCTTGGTATTTTCTTCAGAAAGAGGCTGGCATGGAAATAAAAATTCCATTCACAAAAATCATGCTTCCTACTTTATCAGGGCCAAATCGATTTTAAAAATTCAGGTTTAATTTGAGAAAGTTGGATGTTGAGTAATAACAATACTTTCAGGGTGTAATTTAACTAGATAATTTGGTGCATTATATTTCAAAGCTCTACAGTATTCATTGCTAAGAACTGAATTTGCAGTGCTGCAAAATTCCTTCTTCATCTCAGCCAATCTTGAAATACATTATTTCTAACATTGGAAAGTACTGAATATCTTGGATATTTTAAATAAAAGTTCCCCTATTGAATGAATACCTTATCTTCAGTTTCACTGTGAGGTAATTACCATATTGATGGGATTTTTTTTGCACTCATTTCTGAATGTTTGGAGGAGTTTTTTTTAAGAGTTACATAAACACCTTAAAATAACTTGGACTGTTTGCTAGCTTTCTTGGAGGCTGTTTCCAAACTTGTTCAGGTTCATTAATTATTCACTTTATGACTGCCAACTGAATTGAAGCCCAAGAGAAAGGAAAGGTTTTGTTTTCCTTTTCTGTTTCACAAGGAAGTTTTACCAGAATATATGAGGGAAATGTTGCACTTTTGGTTCAACAAGATTTTGTACCAATTGCAGGGTGCACAAACGGAGAACCAGGCAGTTCAGCTTCAAACAATGTAAGAGACCCATTAAATATTGATCACTTTTGCATGGAAGCTCCTTACTATACGGTTTCCTCATTTTGCTTTCTGGGGTGCATTACAAAATTTAGGTAGGCATATTTTCATATATCTAATACCTAATATTGTAAGAGATGTTTCAGTCCTCCAAAGATTTATGAAAAATGCAAACTGAGATGGAGCTGGGAAATGTTTCGAATCTTTTTCCATTTGTTTGTGAGACCTGAACATCATGGTTTATTTTTTTTTCCTGATACCATAATCATAAATTATATCAGTAGGCTGACAAGTGTTTGCTTCAAAAGAAATCACTGTTGACTAACTCGCTATTTCAGTCTAATGCTCAATGTGTTTACTCACTTGCCATTCGGGCTCACTTCTCAGAAGTATAGTTCAGTCTCTTTGAGCTTGCTTGATTATAGTTAACAGAATATCAAACCTATGCATATCACACTTCAAATAGATAAGTATGCCTAGTGAGCCTTGACTCTGCCCTGTTGACTTTGTACTTGTTTCAGTGGAACCAGAATGAAAAAAGGTCGTAACGAGTAGATTTACTAGAGATTTGATCATGCAGTTGGATTAACCTATAAGAATCTATTAAATTTTGTTGAAACTTGAGTACAGCAATCTTTTCTTCTCTGAAGTGTTTGTTTGCTGAAATCACAACAATAATACACATGTAAGGGAATTCACTTCTCTACTAGTATCAAGTGGTATGTTCCAACCATCTGATGCCTTTAGATATATACATTATCATATTAATAATAATTTTTATTTGTTTACAGTATTTATATTCCGCCCTTCTCGCCTTGAAAGGAGACTTAAGGTGGAACACAGAACACATATACGGCAAACATTCAATGCCGATTATACAATGACAAGACAGACAATAGATCAGTGGTTCTCAACCTTCCTAATGCCACGACTCCTTAATACAATTCCTCATGTTGTGGTTACCCCTCATCATAAAATTATTTTCATTGCTGTTTCATAACTGTAATTTTGCTCCTGTTATGAATTGTAATGCAAATATCTGATATTCAGGATGTATTTTCATTCACTGGACCAAATTTGGCACAAATACTCGATACGCCCAAATTTGAATATTGTTGGGGTTGGGCAGGGGGGACGATAATGATTTTGTCATTTGGGAGTTGTAGTTGCTGGGATTTATCATTCACCTATAATCGAGAGAGCATTCTGAACTCCACCAACGATAGAATTGAACCAAACTTAACACACAGAACTCCCATGACCAACAGAAAATACGGGAAAGGTTTGTTGGGCATTGACCTTGAGTTTTGGAGTTGTAGTTCACCTACATCCAGAGAGCACTGTGGAATCAAACAATGATGGATCTGGACCAAACTTTGCATGAATACTCAGTATGCCCAAATGTGAACACTAGTGGAGCTTGGGCAAAATAGACCTTGACATTTGGGAGTTGTAGTTGCTGGGATTTATAGTTCACCTACAAAGAGCATTTTGAACCCCACCAATTGTAGAATTGGGCCAAACTTCCCACACAGAGACCCCCATGATCAACAGAAAATACTGGAGGTATTTGGGATGAATTGACAGCGATGTAGGGGAAATGTAGTTCACCTACATCCACAGAGTACTGTGAACCCAAATGACTATGCCAAAGGGGTTCCTAAGACGGTCTTTGGCGACCCCTCTGAAACCATAGAGGGATGCTGTCACTCCTTGCTGAAGAGCTTTTTTTGTTCATAAACTTTTCTCCTTTTTCTAAAATGCCATACCTAAAATACCTCCCCATTTAATGCGCTTCCTATTCATCTACTCAGATTGCTGTTTTTGATCTGCTAGGTGGGCAAGGAGCTGGGCTGAAGTTCAGGAGCTCACCTTGACCCGGCTTTGAACTGTCAGACTTTTGGCAAGATTTATTGCAGCTGCAACTGGTGATTATGTATACTGATTTGTTGGAAACCGCCTTGAGTCGCCAGTTGGCTAAGAAAGGCGGTATACAAATACAGCAAATAAATAATAAATTAATTAATTAACCTGCTGCACTTTTATGTCTGTCATGGAGGTTTTGGGCATAAAGACGATTTTTGTACAACAGAGCCAATATCTTGGTGTCAGACTATTCAGCAGCAGTCTCCTCTTGTAGCTCTCAACATTTTGGATTCATACAATTTATATATTTTGCAAAAATATTAACTGAGAGTGATGTATTTTGATTCCCCCTCCAAAAGAATGTCATATATTTAGTTGCTGGGTATGAAATATTTCATGATGGAGAATTCACTGAAAAACAGAGTGATATAATAGTTGCTGCTTTCTCCACGGTCCTATCCTCTGCATGTCTGCTGAAAAGTAAATCCCTTTGGATCCAGTCAAGAAGGATTATTTATGACTGTGTTTCATTATTTCTCATTTAACTGTAGCATATTCAGCTTTTATGTAAGTCTCTGAGAACAATCTTCACAGGAGACTCTGTTGCTGACATGCAAGGGAATTGTCAGGTGTGCATGACAAAACCAGTTTGGTGCAATGCAGGAAGCACAGCAAAAGTTTGCTCCATTTATTACCAATGCAATCAGGCACTGCTTAAATATCTTTAAAAGAGAGAACCCTTGCCTTCCTTTTCAGGTACTTCAGCTTTAGAAATATTTGTGGTTTAGCTGGAGGTGGTTCCGTGTATTTGTCAGTTTTAGCACCTTTTGACAAAAGATGTACTGCTAATGGAAAATTCCACTGTGTCGCAATCCCTCAAGACATATAATATTCAATACAGTTAAATAGATGTTACTGCCTTCACATATTAATGTTATCAGGAACAATAATGTAAACAAAACAAAATCTGATTTGTCTTTTGACTTTGCAGCACGTATTAACATAAGAGTCCATGATGTACAAACACATTTGTGTCCTCTAACTTGGTCTGAATTAACTGGAAATGTATACTATAGCTCAGGGGTCCTCAAACTTTTTAAACAGAGGGTCAGGTCACAATCCCTCAAACTGTTGGAGGGCTGGATTATAATTTGAAAAAAGCATGAATGGATTCCTATGGACACTGCACATATCTTGTTTGTAGTGCAAAAAACACTTTAAAACAATACAATAATTAAAATGAACAATTTTACCAAACATAAACATTAATATTTCAATGGGAAGTGTGGGCCTGCTTTTGGCTGATGAGATAGGATTGTTGTGTGCTTTCAAGTCGTTTCAGACTTAGGTTGACCCTGAGCGAGGGCCGGGTAAATGACCTTGGAGGACCGCTGCTATAGATGAAAACAATGCGACTGTTTACAGCTTCCATTATAGTTTAGTGCCGTGGTTCTCAACCTGTGGGTCCTGAGTTGTTTTGGCCTACAACTCCCAGAATTCCCAGCCAGTTTACCATCTGTTAGGATTTCTGGGAGATGAAGGCCAAAATATCTGGGGACCCATAGATTGAGAACCACTGGTTTAGTGAAATGAGGTACAATCTGTATGTCTGTGATATTTGCCCCCTTAAATATTACATAGCCCACAGGAACCAATGGTTAAATAGACCAGTAGAGTGTAGTCTATTTAGACCAGTGGTTCCCAGACTTTTTTTTTTTTGAATGGTGGGAGTTGAAGTCCAAAACACTTGGAGGGTCAAAGTTTGCCCGTGCCTGCAAACAAAGGTTGGAGAACCACTGCTCTAGTGATATACCCTAGATATACCCTATATGGTTCCGGCCCAGTTTACCTGTCCAAACGTATTCTCCCCTATGAACCATCAAGAGCGTTGAGGTCGTCTGGAGAGGCCCTGCTCTCAGTCCCGCCATCTTCGCAGTTGCGTCTGGTGGGGACGAGAGACAGGGCCTTTTCTGTGGTGACCCCCCGGCTATGGAATTCCCTCCAGAACAATATTCCCCCTCCCTCCTGACCTCCTGACCTTTAGGAAGCTAGTGAAAACCTGGCTGTGGAACGAGGCCTTTGCAGAATGATGGGTGAGACCGAAAATCAACCAAAGTATTGACCACAATACATGGACTGAATATATGGACTGAGTTGGACATGTTTTTATCTTGGCGAACGGCTTTTATGTATTTATTTTATATGTATTGTTAATTTACTGTTGTTATATGTTGTTTTAGATTTTTACTGTTTAGCATTTAATTCTTGCTGTTAGCCAGTCTGAGTCCCTCTACGGAAGCAGAGAAGATCGGGATATAAAAGTTTTAAATAAATAAAAAAATATACAGGCCATTTAGAAATGAAGCTGTTTGCTGCTCAAATTAATAAAACAACCTGATGGAACAAAAAAGAAATTCAGGTAACGATTCGAGATTGAGATTTACAACATCCTAAAACATTTGGTAGGAAAAGTGATATTCTCGTCTTTATTCTTGATAGAGGCTGAAGGTTATAACAAGTAGGTCTTCTATAATGTGTTGGGGATGATTATACCAAACTCATTTTATGGTTGATTCACAGTTTCTTTAGGATAAGAGGCATAACTTCTTGCATTTGATTTTCTGGAAGATTCAGAGCAACCCTAGTAGGAATCCGATTTAATATAGTCCTTCACCTACTTACACAAATCAAGGCTGTGTTTGATGTTTTTGTTCAACCTGATTGAAGTACTGTGAATCAGCCTCTATCAAAGATACAGTTCAGTTCTTGATCCTTTTTAAATTCCTATAAGAAAAGAAAAAGAAATGAGGAAGGAAAAAGCAGGATTAGATCTTAAGTTTGATTTACCATTGGGCTTCCTTTCTCTCATTGCGAATTGAGAAGCTGGGTTGTGGGTAATCAATGCCAGGAGAGCTAATTGTAAGACTTCACATAACATATTATGACCTTGACTGAGGATTTGGTGGGTGTGTCATTAAATGGGAATCGGGAACTTTTAGCCCATGGTTCAAATCATAGAATCAAAGAGTTGGAAGAGACCTCATGGGCCATCCAGTCCAACCCCCTGCCAAGAAGCAGGAATATTGCATTCAAATCACCCCTGACAGATGGCCATCCAGCCTCTGCTTAAATCGGACGAACGAGCTTCTTTTCAGGCTCTGCCCTTCTCCCTCCATAATTATGCTTCTGTGATGGGGAGATAAGAACTGTGGTTTCCCAAGCACGGGCATGGAAAACTTCTGATAAGAGGGAATTTGAAGGAATATGAAGTTCAAATTCTTTGCACTTTTGAACATTTGAGTTTTCAATATTTATGGAGTAGATATCCTTATATTTAAATTATGTTTTGCATGTCTGCATAACACTAATTCGTTGCTGCTGGATTGCGTGATAAGTTTCATTATCTAACGTTTGAAATATTTCTTAAAGGATTCAAATAATAAATAAAAATGTAATGTTCGTTTCTGAGATTAACTGAACTCAAAAACCACTGGACGAATTGACACCAAATTTGACCACAAGACACCTAACAACCCAATGTATGTCCTTCACTCAAAAAAATTGATTTTGTCATTTGGGAATTGTAGTTGCTGGGATTTATAGTTCACCTACAATCAAAGAGCATTCTGAACCCCACCAACAATGAAATCGAACCAAACTTGGCACACAGAACTCCCATGACCAACAGAAAATACTGGAAGGGTTTGGTGGGCAATGTCCTTTGGTTTTGGAGTTGTAGTTCGCCTACATCCAGAGAG